AACTTGGTTGGTATTCTTTCCCCTAATTTTATAGTACTATATATAAAAGAGAAGACGTGTAATTTAGCATTTAATACACTCTCTAATAATTCTTTTTTAAAGAGAGCATTAAACTATTCCTTCTACCAAAGGTGGCCATACTTACTAACACTCAAATATACCATTGTTTTGTTTATTTTTTCTTGCTATCTTCTATTCATGATGTTTCATTTTCCCAGACACTAAACTCTGAAAAGCTACCATTGTCATTAAAACACCTCAAGCTTTGGGCTTTTGAGATATATAGTTACCTTAAAATATTTGGAGGAAGGCTAAGAACACTGTTATCTCAAAGGGGAAAGAATAACAACCAAGTTAATGAATGTAAAATATGTGTTCTGTCTCAAAAGAAAAGATCACGCATGACTTGTCCACTTGTCAGAGTCTGAAAGAAAAGAGAGCTATCATTTATTCAACAAACATTTAATGAGTGCAAATTATACACCAAATATTTCAAATACTGATTTTTTTTGAAACACTTCTAACAGCTCAGTTATTGTTTTTAGATTATCCACAAAAATTGTGGTTTTGATAGCTCTGATACTAGTTTTTCTGTACCTATATACAGTCTTTTTAAAAAGATTCAAGAAATATGGCAGTAAGACAAGCAGACTGGAGAGACAAGGCCCGGATTTAATAATGGTTATAACTTTGTAGAAAACAGAAGTCAAAAGGACCTAGTCTCAATTCAGATCAACAGATATTCACTAAAATGTGGCACCCAGGTCCTTGAAGTATGTGCCCTTGACTGGGAATTGAACCCGTGATTCTTTGAATCGCAGGTCGATGCTCTAACTACTGAGCTAAACTGGTCAGGACTCAAATTCCTTATTTAAAATGGCATAGAACAGTGCATACAGTTGACTCTCTGCATCCATAGGTTGAAAATAGTACTGTTTTTGAGCTGCAATTGATTGAATCCACAGATGGGAAACCCATGGTTAAGGATGGCTAACTGTAATGTTTTAAAGGAATACATCCCTACTCATTTGTTCACCTGTTAGCTACGGCTGCTTTTTCACTACAGTGGCAACAATGATAAGTTGTGACAGAGACCACATCGGCCACAAACATTTATTGTTTGGCCCTTTATAGAAAGGTTTGCTGACCCCTGGTAAAGACTAGTAACTCAGTTTTGGCTGCATAATGGAATCATCTGGCAGCTTTAACAAAATTACTGATGTTAGGATCTCACCCCTACCCCATTTAGGTCTGCAATTTGGTCTTGGTGCCTGAGTTTTAAACTTTTCAGGTGATTGTAATGTGCAGCCAGGGTTTAGAATCACTGATATAAGGAAGGAAGAACACATACAGCAGTACAAACTGGTAATTTTGGTTCTTTATTTTACTAGGTCAGAGTGTCAGAAATCTAAACAGTGGAGGTAGAAGAAAGTCCTGCTTCATTAAATGACGTATTTAAAAGGACAGAAGCTGTGCTTATAGTTCTTCATGTGACAGTGGGCAGAGGTGAAGAGAGCACTCAGCCAGCACTTGACAGATGGAGGGCAGGCCTTAATGTCCTGCCTTCTGATAAATAGTGGGTTTACTATTTGGAGTATAAATAAAACAAAACAACAGGAGACTATAGAAATTTATATAATGGGGAAACGGAATACTATCCTAAAGACTCACAGGGAGAACAGTTCTCTGAACATTATTTTCTATAGAAATCCGAAGAAAATTTTAGAAAACTATTTGGCAGTCTCAGTAAGATACAAGAAATGGCTCTGAAAAGTAGATTGTAAACTATGGTTTTCAAGCCAGATTCAACTGTGTAAATATGTCTTGAATGGTGTATATATTGTTTTTAGAAAATTTGAATGCGTTGCTAGCATTTAAAAATAGTTTTCACATAGAAATTCACATTTGTAGCTTCTCTTAAAAAACCAAATCTTTCAGCAGTAAGGCTGAATTGCATTAGGCCTTACTCTCTTTTCTTTGACAGTTCAGTTCTAAAACCATTAAATGAGGCCAAGCAGGGTGCCAGATGGGGAGGCTATAATGGCATAGAGCAGGGTATTGGAGCCTGACCAGAATGGGGCAGTGATGGAAAGGGAAGAAGACCAGTATATGGGGTGTTAGAGCCCAAGCAGGGTGGGAAGGGTGCCCTGTTCAGGGGGGAGCTGGCTTGGGATGTCAGAGTACAAATGCTGTGGGAGGGTATCTGTGTAGTGTGCTGGTGGAGTTGGGGTGGGGGGAGTTGCAGTTCTAAAAGGATCCAGGGCTTGGTGGAGAAATGGCTGATGCCAGGGCTGGTACAGGGAAAGAACAAGATGAACCTAGAACTTTTTGATTTTTGTTAATCCTTACCCGAGGATATTTTTTTCATTGATTTCTATAGCGCGTAGAAGGGAGGGAGATAAACATTGACGTGAGCGAGACACATCCACTGGTTGCCTCCCATACAACCCTACTGGGGGTGGAGGCCACAACTCAGGCATGTGCCCTGACCGGGAATTGAACTGGGACCTTTTATTCCATGGGATGATGCTCAATCCACTGAGCCACAACAGCCAGGCCCTTCTATGATTTTCTTACCAAAGATGTATAACCTGAATCGAATCATAAGGAAACATCTGAGAAATCCAGATTGAAGGACATTGTGATACAAAATAACTAGCCTATACTCTTTCAAAATGTCAAGATTATATAAACCAAGGAAGGACTGGAATTTTTCCCAGATTGCAGGAAACTAAAGAAACATGGCAGCTAAATGCAACATGTAATTCTGAATTGGATGGTATTGGGACAAATGGCAAAACTTAAGTGGGGTCTGAGAACTAAATGGTAGTAGTGTATCAGTGCTAATTTCCTGATTGATGATTGTGTTGTGGTTGTCTAGGAAAACACCCTAATGTTGTAGAAGCTATATGCTAAGCTGTTCGGGTATAACAGAGCATGCTAACAATGTACTCTCAGATGGTTTCAGTTTTAAAAGTTCTTTGTATTATACTTTCAACTTGTCTATAAGTTTGAAATTCCTTCAAAATTAAATACAGAAGGGGTGGGGGTGTGTGTGTGTGTGTGTGTGTGTGTGTGTGTAAGGCTTTATGCACATATGGAAAAGTGACCTGGGATATTTTTCCACAACATGCATTTTTATTTTAGTTTCTGTTACTTTAATTATGTTGTCACTGCTGGATAAAGAAAATGGTATAGGCTATTTGTTATAAGACATAAAAAAATCTTCTTAAATGAGATTTTTATTTGTAATAAGCAACTTATGTATGTATTATAACAATCTGTGTTAAGCCATTGTGAAGGTTCATAGTTTTAAAGTTGTGACTCTTTTATACATGCTATGTTACAATTTGAATATTTTGAATTGCAAAGTAGACATAATTTATTAAGACTGGAAACAATAATTTTTCTATAAATTATACCAAATTTTGAATGTGTTTTTTTTCTTTTTTTTTATCCTCATCCGAGGACATTTTTCCATTCTTTGTACAGACAGAGTGGGAGAGAGAGAGAGAGGGAAACATCGATGTGAAAGGGACACATCGAGTGGCTGCCACCCGCACGACCAACCAGGGCCGGGGACAAACTGCAACCCAGGTACATGCCCTTAGCGGGAACCGAACCCGGCCCTCTCCGGACCTCAGGCGGACGCTCTAACCGCTGAGCCAAACCGGCCAGGGCTTGAATGTGTTTTTTTGTTTGTTTCTTTAGCTGATTGATTTGTTTAATATGATTTAAGTTAGAAGTAAACATTTTTAGTCCCTTTTTAGACTGGGTAAAGTTTGCCTGCTTCTAGAATATGTATATTCTCCACTTTTCATATTAAAAAGACCATTAACCTTTAAATAAGTGAATATACACAATATACTATGATATATCTGTATAATAGAATAAAAATTAAGATATAGCATATAAAAATAATTTCACAACGGTAGACTGGGTCTCAAATTGCAAATGAAGTAGAGTAACAGGAAAAGGGGGGTCTCAGAAAAGGTAGAATTTTAGTCTTAACTTTGATGATTAGAAAAAAATTGAAGTATACAATTCTGTTCAGTAGTAGAATTTATTTATTTATTTTGTAACTTTTTTTTTATCCTCACTTGACATTTTTCCACTTTTTGTTCAGATAGAGTGGGAGGGAGGGGGAGAGAGATAGGGAGAAACATCGACGGGAAAGGGACAGATCGAGTGGCTGCCATCCACACAACCCAACCAGGCCTGGGGACACACTGCAACCAAGGTACATGCCCTTAGTGGGAACCGAACCCAGGTCTCTCTGGACCACAGGCCGATGCTCTAACCACTGAGCAAAACCGGCCAGGGCTCAGTAGTAGAATTTTTTCTTTCTTTCTTTCTTTATTCATATATTAGAGAGACAGAGGAAGGGAGAGGGACAGAGAGATAGAAACATTGATGAGAGAGAACATTGACTCACTGTCTCCTGCATGCCCCCCACTGGGGATCGGGCCCAGAACCTGGGCATGTGCCCTGACCGGGAATCAAACCAGCAACCTCTTAGTGCATGGGTCGATGCTCAACCAGTGAGCCATACCGGCTGGACTCAGTAGTAGAATTTAAAATGGAGAGTATAAACTCAAACAAAACATGGTCTATATGAGTAATAGGCCAAAAAGGGGGAAATATTTAAACCAGATAATATTTAATAATGTGGAAAAATACCATATAAAACTGTATGCAGGATGACCCCAGTTTTGTGTTTATCCATGTGTATGACATAGTTATCTAGAAAAGAGACTGACAGGAAAATAAGATTGAGTGGTTTCCTAGGAAGTGAAGTAATGTGTGATTTTTATTTTCTTCTTTATACATTTTTATACTTAAAAAATAAGATGTATGTTCTTATATATGATATGTATACAACTCCCAACGAACAAATGTTCTTTAAAAATTAAAATATATTCTAATCTGTATTTTATATAATATAAAATATTGTAAAATATTTTGTAGTTTTTTCAGTAGAAAAATCTTTTTTTTTCTAGGATAATTGGTGGGCAGTAATGCTTATGGGAATTGCCCTGATCATGTTAATGGCTGGATTTATTAAGATATGCAGTGTTCATACTCCAAGTAGTAATCCAAAGTTGCCTCCTCCTAAACCTCTTCCAGGTAAGATAATTTGAAGAAGGTATGTATATTTATAACACAGAACCATTCAGCAGGTAGAATTAAATTATAAATGAGTCTTTAGTAACTGATTTTATAGTACTTTCTTCTTGAGAATGGGATTGCTGGATGAATTATTTAGTTGATTTTTAAGTGTTTTTTTTTTTTTTTTAAATCAATCCAATGTAGCTAATGGCTGGCAATTTAATGTTAATCTACCCTGAGTGTCTAGAAACATACAGACCTAGAAAGTTTTGTTTTCGCTTGGTACTTATTTTCTTGTTTTCATTTTTATATTCTAAAATCTTCCATTTTTGTTTTAAATGATTGGTCCTTGTATTTTAATAGCTATGCTTCTGTTAGTGTTTTTAATGTTCATGTGCATCATATATTTTCTGGCACATAAGCTCATTTTCCCTAGAGATGATGCTTATGGGGAAACAGAATCCATGGGAGAGTCTTAGGGTGGAGGCTTTTAGTCACCTAATAACTATTCGTCATCTCTGAAAATAACTCCTAAGGTTAGGTCTTCCCCCTTTACCTCAGGAAGACACAGCATAGGGAGGATTTAGATGAGCTCCAGGGATTTACAGAAGAAAAGGGTAGGGAACAACTGCTCCAGATTATTTAGTTCCCCTCTATTTCTCCCTCACCTTCCCCAAGGTATTTGTGGCTTCTATACTGCCCTCAGGACTCCTGGATCAGCACTCAGTTTACTAGAGTTGGGGTGGACACTGTCCCAAGGCAGTGGCAGAGGAGAACCTGAACTATACAATGTGGTTGCCTCTTCTCCCTCCCAGATTTCTCATGAAGCTTCTTGTCTCAGGCCAAGTCCACTACCCTACAGAAAACAGATTAAAAGTAGGGGTTTCTTACATTTGTCCCCATTTTCCCTTAGTTGTTTTCTTGCATTTACTTGGGGCAAGAGAGCTCAATATATTCATGCTGGGATAGTATCTTCGTGAGAATCAGGAAATTTGACTTTTTATCATTGCTTTACATAAATTTTAATGTTTAGCTCTCTGGAATTTATACCAGTTTCTTAGGAATTTCCAAGGACCTCATGACACTTTTTAGATGCGTTACTGATTATATTTTCATCATGGAAACAATTCTTGAACTTGAAGCAAATTCCACCTTTAAAACTTAAAACAAACCCCTAGCCACCATTTATTGAACCCTCACACAAAGTGTTAAGCGTTTTTACATGAATTATCATATCATCCTCGCAAATAGACTATATGAGTTAGTTATCCCTGTTTTATAGACAAGGCATTTGAGTTGCAGAGAGGTTAAGTCATTTACTCAAAGACACTCAGTAATTTCTTTGTCATAGATCTTGTCCTCAGAGTCCATATTAGTTTAGTAAGTTGTGGCTGTTGCACATTTGAGAGTAGCTAGTTGAGATGTGTGTAAATGTAAAATACATATCAGACTTTGAAGGTTTAATGTATAAAAAAGAATGAAATATTTCATTATTTTGTCTATTACATCTTGAAATAATATTTTGGCTATATTGGATTAAGTGAAATAAAAAAAATACTCCATTTATTTATTTTTTTACTATTTATTACAGCTACTGAAAAATTTAAATTACATATATGGCTTGTATTATATTTCTGTTGGATACCACCAATCTAGAACCTTCCTCATTGACATGGCAGCTTTGTTTTTAAAGAGTATAAAGCTTACGGTAAATCTGTCTTTTGTTTGTGACTCGCAGGCACTTTAAAGAGGAGGAGACCTCCACAGCCCATTCAACAACCCCAGCGTCAGAGGCCCCGGGAGAGTTATCAAATGGGACATATGAGACGTTAACTGCAGCTTTTGCCTTGGTTCTTCCTAGTGCCTACAATGGGAAAACTTCACTCCAAAGAGACACCTATTAAATCATCCCCAAACAAAACCCTCACAAATAACAGTCGAAGAAAAAAATGGCAAGAGATCATGTCCTCAGACCAGGTGGAATTACTTAAAATTTAAAGCCTGAAAATTCCAATTTGGGGGTGGGGGGTGGAAAATGAACCCGATTTTCTTATGGACAGATATTTTTAACCTAATGGCACAAAAGTCTTAGAATATTATTATGTGCCCTGTGTTCCCTGTTCTTCGTTGCTGCATTTTCTTCACTTGCAGGCAAACTTGGCTCTCTATCAACTTTTATCACAAATTGAAATATATATATATATATTTTTTTCAACTGCCAATCAAGGCTAGGAGGCTTGACCACCTCAACATTGGAGACATCACTTGCCAATGTACATACCTTGTTATATGCAGACATGTATTTCTTACGTACACTGTACTTCTGTGTGCAATTGTAAACAGAAATTGCAATATGGATGTTTCTTTGTATTATAAAATTTTTCCGCTCTTAATGAAAAATTACTGTTTAATTGACATACTCAGGATAACAGAGAATGGTGGTATTCAGTGGTCCAGGATTCTGTAATGCTTTACACAGGCAGTTTTGAAATGAGAATTAATTTACCTTTTTCTTATGATGGAGTTGGTTCTGATACTCATTTTGTCTTTATCAAATGGCTGCTAAGAGCACATGAGTGACTACCCTGAAGAACACAGTTAAGTGTTGTGCAAACTGGACATATGCAGCATACTACTTCAGAGTTAGTTCTTTATGTAAGTGTCTGATTTCTGCTTATTTCAGTTAATTCAATTCCATTTTTGAATTGATAGGTGACATTTTTTTCATGCTTCAGTAGAAATTACGTCAGTGAAATGATTCTTTTTATTTGTAACCTCTCATTTTTATGTTTCCATATATCTAAAGTATGCTAATTATGTTTTTGGTTTTTGTCTGATATGGAAAAGAAAAGCTGTGTCTTTATTTTATCAAAATGTTTGAACAGTTTTTTTAGCATATTATCACTGATCATTGGTAACCACTAAAGAAGAGTGATTTGCTCAACTAGTAGTTAAAACTGTTGATAGGCCTTCTGACTTTTTTTTCCCACTAAAATATTTTAACAACAAAGGAGGTGAAACAGCACAATGTCCCATTCCAAATTTATTTTTTAAACACATGTAAATAATTGGCTTTTTAAAGAAAGAAAGCAAAAGCATTTAATGTATTAACAGGCTTATTGCTATGCAGACTGGAAGGGGGCATTACAAGAATATTTTAAGCTTGTGACATATTTATTGCTTCTGTTTTCCAACTACATTACTTAAATTAGACATAAATAGCTATGATTTTCCTGGCTTCATGTAGGAGGCAAGTTTAGGGAAAGTTGAAAACATTTGTGTTTTGGCTTCTTTTTTTCCTTTTTTTCTTAAGAGTATAAGGTTTACACAATCATTCTCATAATGTGACGCAAGCCAGCAAGGCCAAAAATGCTAGAGAAAATAATGGGATCTCTTCCTTGTAAACTTGTATAGTATGTGGTGACTTTTTTCAAAATACAGCTTTTTGTACATGATTTAGAGACAAATTTTGTACATGAAACCCCCAGATAGATTATAAATAATTCTAAACACAAGTAGGTAGATATGTATGTAATTGCTTTTAAATCATTTAAATGCCTTTGTTTTTGGACTGTGCAAAGGTTTGGAAGTGGGTTTGCATTTCTAAAATGGTGACTTTTATTCTGCAAGAGTTCTTAGTAACTTCTTGAGTGTGGCAGACTTTGGAACATGTACATTTTTTGCTTGTAATGTTATCCTGTGGTAAGGTTTTGGCAGGTATACACTGCCCTATTTTATTTTGAGTCTAAGTTAAATGTTTTCTGAAAAGAGATACGTGCACTGAACTCTCCACGGCAAATCAAGATGTGGTAAAACAAAAGGATCAAGATAAATGAGATCTAATACTACTGTCAGTTTAATGTCCACTGTGTTTTATACAGTATCTTTTTGTTCACTTTGGAAATTTTTACTAAAAATTGCAAAAAAATAAAGTATTGTGCAAAGATGTAAGGTTTTTTGAAACTTGAAATGCATTAATAAATAGACTTGATGAAATCAAATTGAAGATTCCATTCTCTTGAACTCCGAGAACTACCAAAAGATGCTTCCCACGAGGCAACTTTTTCTTAATAAATGAAAGAGATTGTTAAGTAGAAAGGGGGTTGTCTCTTTCCATATAAGTGCAGATAATCTTTATTCCTAGTTAGGAGTCCATATAAAAAAAAGTATGATTAGATATCTCTGTATCTGCACATTTTAAAAACACTTAACTAGGCTCAGTCATTATTCATTTGTGTTTAAAAGTGTTTGTCTTGGTGGAAGAGCTGACATTTTGGGACCTGGTCTTATTGACAGTAAGTCCTCACTTAACTTGGTCCATAGGTTCTGTGACTTAAAGCAAAACAATGTATAATGAAACCAATTTTACCATAGGCTGATTTATATAAACAAGAGATAAGATCCTACAACATCTCATCAAAGTTATAGCAAAATGTTGAACTGAACAATGTTATTTGAGGACCTACTATATATGTATTTTGCAAAGTTTTGAATGCTAAGTATCTCATTTATTTTAAGAGTCTAGTTTAATATTTTAAAATTCTGAGTATCTTTTTCCTTTGTCAAATTCATAGCAAATAAGGAGAGACTTGACATTTCAGTCTTACCTAGAAAAATAATTATAGTCAAACCTCAGTTCTTGAATGTCTCCCATCTTGAAGAATTTGATTCTTGATCAAGTTCACGGAAAAAGTGTCTCCGTTGTGGCACAAAATTTCAGTTCTCGACCTGACGACCTTTTCATGCTGATACATCAGCATGACAGAAATTGTCTCTCAGGCCACAACCAAAGGAGAGAATGTACCAGTCTGAGTCAGTTTATAGCTATACTTTGCATTGTTAACATCTTAGGGAATTGTGCTGTGAATATTTGTGTGTGTGTGTGTGTGTGTGTGTTTTGAATTTGCTTTTGTTGCTAGCAAAGTGGATGATTAGCACAATTTTAAAATATGAAGAGGCCATCAAGAGTGCTAATGTATTTAAGAGTGTGAAAGAAACAATGATCACAGGCAGTTAAAGAGGTAGAAAAACTGTTGATTTGGATTAACAGAAAGCAGTTCGCAGTGATAACATCTCGGAAGCAGTGATAATGGAAAAGTGAAGATGCTGCCTGCCGACCTGAAAGACAGCTGGAACGCGCGCACAATGAATTTAAGAAAGGAAGTGTTTGTTTATAGATTAAGCAGTACATTAGACTGTATATAAGAAAGGTTAAAACAATCATTTGGAGGTCTGGAACGAATTAATTCAATTTACATTATTTCTAATGGGAACAAATGATTTTATTTTATTTTTATTTTTTTTATCCTCACCCGAGGACATTTTTCCATTTTTTGTACAGATAGAGTGGGAGGGAGAGAGAGGAAGAGAGAGAGAGAGAGAAACATCGATGTGAAAGGGACACATCGAGTGGCTGCCACCCGCATGACCAACCAGGGCCGGGGACAAACTGCAACCGAGGTACGTGCCCTTAGCGGGAACCGAACCGGGTCTCTCCTGACCGCAGACGAACGCTCTAACCGCTGAGCCAACCCGGCCAGGGCAATGATTTGATTTTAAATAAATAGCTTCTTGAACAGCCTTCCAGGACAAATTAAGTTTGAGAACCGAGGTTCCACTATATGAACCCAGAATGGTGCCCTGCATAGTATAATCTGTCCCCAATTCTTTTTCTTTTTTAAAAAATTGAGGCCAGCTATAGTTGTTAGTAAGTAGTATTTGTTAAGTGAATAAACGTGCCATGCCATACTTTTTTGTTTAATTTAGATACATTAAGATGTATGTTATGTTTAATTCTGTTCATGAAACCATCAATACTGATTAATTCAGATGACTGCAAATTTGTTATTTTTGCTTACAATTGGATGCTTAGATTTTGTTTAGAATTTTTTTCAGTTTTCTAAATTTAGGCAACAACTTACAAACAAAATCAGCAGTAAAATTGGTTATCAGTTTCTGGATTTAGTGATCCTCATAGTATTAGGCAATATCATATAGTTTGGCGAAGGACTTCTCTTTTTTAATCCTCACCCGAGGATTCATTTATCTTCAGATAGAGTGAGTGGGAAAAAGAGAGAGAGAAACGTCAGTGTGAGACAGACATATTGACTGGTTGCCTCCTGCACGACCAGGGACAGAACCACAACCAAGATATGTGCCCTTGACCAGAATCAATCCCACGACTCTTTGGTGTGGAGCTGATACTCTAACCCTGAGCCAAGCCAGCCAGGGTGGTGAAGGACTACTTTAAGGGAAAGACAACTCTGTCTGATCAGTTTTGTTTTCTGAGGTGTTTTCAACACTTCATTTTTGTCATATTCACAGATTAGTGAAAACTGAGGATTTCTCCCAGTTGAGCAAACTACTCCTCTTAAGTTCTTACATCTGTTCCCATGGTCTGTACATTTTAAGACCTAATGATGATTATTTCTCCAAAAATGGGATTAGTGCCCTTGGCAGCTGTGCAGTTGTGGGTGCTTGTGCTTGACAAGGCTTTTAATTTCTTGTTAAATATTTCTTTTTTTAAATTGTATTTATTGGGTTGACATTGGTTTGCAAAACCATACAGGTTTCAAGTGTACAACTCAGTAAAACACCATCTGCTCACTGCATCACCTGCTCATGCTCTCATTGCCCCAAGCAAAGCCTCTTTCCGTCCCCATTTCCCTCCCTTTGCCCCTTCCACCTACCTTGCACCCCATTTCCCTCTGGCTGTCATCACACTGTTGTCTGTGTCTGTGTTATGTATATATGTTTTTTTTTGGTTAATCCCTTTAATTGAAAGTCTAAGAGAGTCACTGTAGTAGATGCATTATAAAACTGGACAGCCCATCTTCAGTAGTATGAGAAATGTTCATTATCTAGATTTAGAGAGTAAGTTGAGCATAGTTCTAAGCAGCTACCAGAAACAGTTCATAGAGAAGTCACTAAAATTGTGGGAAATGAGTTTCCTGAAAAGCATGTTTGACTTCTAAGTAACTAGATAGGTGATCAGTTTGCCCCACAGAGCTCAGCTTCAGTTTCAGCATTTCTGGTTTCATGTCCTTGATCACAAGAAACGTCTATTTGAATCTCTTTTTCCATTTATTACCAGTTTAGTTTTGCCATTATTGTTTTTGTATCCAACCCTTTGTATTATTGGTATAGTGGAACCTCAGTTCTCGAACCTAATTCATTCTGGAAGGCTGTTTGAAAACCGAAGCATTTTTTCCCATTAGAAATCATGTAAATTGAATTAATCCATTCCAGATCCCAAAAATGATTGCTGTATTAACCTTTCTTATACACAGAACATGCCTAATGTACTGTTTAATCTGTAAATAAATACTTTAAAAATAAAAAGGACATGAAATGTAAATGAAGATTTAACAAAAAGGAAATGAAATGTATAGTAAAAAATGAAAATTTAGCCCCGGCTGGTTTGGCTCAGTGGTTAAAGCATCAGCCTGCGGATCAATGAGTCACGGGTTCGATTCAGATCAAGGGCACGTACCTCAGTTGTGGTTCATCCCCAGCCCTGGTCAGGGTTGTGTGGGAGGCAGCCAGTCTATGTGTCCCTCTCACATTGATGTTTCTCTTTTTTCCTTCTTCCCACTCCATCTGAAGATAGTAAATAGAAAACTATCCTCAGGTGAAGATAAAGAAAGAAAAGAAAATTTAATAATAAGCAACAACAAAAGCAAAAAACAAATATTCACAACACAATTTCCTGAGATATTAACAACATGAGGTTTAGTGGTAAACTGCCTCATGCTCTCACATTCTCTCCATTGTTT